ACTCGTATGCCATGTATGTATAACTCTAAACTATAGCAGCGTATGGTGAAATAAGTATTAGCTTGTTTGAGACTAGAAAATTGGCATCCTTGATTTCCGAAGTAATTTCGAGCAGCAGCGGGGACACGCATCCAATATTCAATATTACAAATTCTACCCGAGTCGAATATCGCCGGAATTCGGATGTAACGCGTAAATCGTCTCTCTCCGCTCGCTGTTGGCCGCCGCACTCTTTCCATTTTCACGGCGACGTTATCAGCGCATAATAAAACCGGAAGAGAGATGATAAAAGATCGCAACACGCATCCGCGTTTATCGTCGCGGGCTAACGCCGCGCTTAAAACCGAAAGTACACGGGCCACTTAGAAGCGCGCTTTCGCGCGGGCTTGTGAGCGATGAAAACGCGCGGCTCTGCTTTCACGCACACGTACGCGAACCCCTTTGATATTAGAATAAACGTCGTTCCGCGAGAGCATGGTGAAAAAGACCATCGAGGAGCAGGAACCTCCTCTTTTTCGCCGAATGGCGTCCATCAGACTCCAGAAAGAGTATTTTATGTGTCGAAGGTTCCGATATGATAGCTTTCTTTAAGAACAAAAATTCCGCGTAAGTTCGCGCGGTACTTTTCAAAATAATATTGGACAAAATTCGTGGTTAGAGTACGAAAATAATATTCATTTTTAGTACTTGAGAATCATGGCTATGTTTGTGTGTAAACAGTATTAAATTGTTTGATGAGCATTAAGAATGTAAATTTGAATATCAATAATCATGAGAATTCAAATCGTATATGTTAATCGAGGGAACCCGTGATTCCCCTTGAATCAATATTAATCGAGAACGCTAACTAACATAATTTTTGAATTTAACCTGACAATTTAGACTAGATTTATTTCGAAAAATATTACACAAGATTTCTAACGCCTTTTTCTTACTCTTTTTCACGTGAATGATAAATCGGGACTAAATTTCACGTAGGTGGGATAATGAAGTCTCGAACTCGTCACGAGTCGTTCTTGGTTCTCGATCATACTAGTTTCTTCATTAATGTTATGGTGTATTAACTGTACAAATCTAATTGTCTTGTATGAGTCACACACTTTGAATATAGTTTGTTAATGAATATAATATATTATATTATTACAGAATCTGAAAGTAATACTAGGAATTGAAACGTCATCATATAAAACTTATAGTGGAGACTCTAAATTTCTCATTACATAATTTATAAACTCCCTTGTCAAATCGAATCATGTATACAAAATCATTCTGTACACGTTCTACATTTCAATGCACAAAATCTTCAATTCAGTCATAACATAGAAATACAAAAATCATACATATTTACATTACCGAAAAGTTACAGGAACTGTCTAACCAAAAATGACCCAACAAAATGACCCAAAAATGACCGAAATTAATAACAATGGAAAGTACACGTTTCATTGCAAAATTCTGTTCGAAGATTGTTTCCTGGAACCACATCTGTTTATAAAACCGTGGAACGAGTTTCACCTGACTCGTCAACTTTGCACGAAGCACACGCAACGCGTCTAACTTCGCGCAGCCTCTTGTGGTCCCGCGCGACTTGGCTTAACAAGACCATTAATTAATAATACCTTCCAGGGATAATTTGCGAGCGGCTGGCTCTCGCATCAGCGCCGTTATTGTTCTCGGAAGCGACCCTTCCGGTCGGTTTCGCGACACGTTTTAAAAAATTGATCTCACCCCCGATGTCCCGTGACGGAGCCACCATCGGCTCGAAGTGCCACGTTGTAATTTTACGGTTGACAGTCTGCAATAAATATAGGGCAAACATAAACCGCCGTAAAGAACCGTCTCCCAAGGGTAAATCGAATTTCGCTCGTACAGTTTAGTTCGTAGTTTCGACGTCGGTGCCTGGCGGCGATCATTTATTCAACTCAATTTCGCGTATGCTTTTCGTATGAGTGACAAATGCCTCTATTTATAGAGAATTGAACGAGAAATTCCGCTAACGGTTGTTCCCCCTTTCGGAACTTTAAATCCTTCCCGGCAATTTTTGCCGTTCGAACCCCGGGACTCGCCGAGAGCGTACTTTTCCAAAATACCCCTACAAATCTTCCACGCTCGAACGTTCTATCCGGTAACAAGCTGTATTACAAGCGCGCTCGTAATATGCGGGCAATGATGCGTGTCTGACCCATTTTCCAACAGAAATAATATTTTCGAGTCGTACCGAAAGGAGGGACAAACAGGGCAATTAACCCCTTGATCGCGGGACGATTTTCGCTGGAAAATCTAAGAGGTGTGAATTTAAAAAAATAACACCTTATAGGGGATGGTGAGACGGAACTTTTTTGTATTTACAGTTTGTTCATGCGACGTTTAGTTTCAAAGATTAAAATTCAAAATTCGGAAGACCTTTTTTCCCTGAATTCGATTACATTTGTAATGGTGAAAACGAAATCATCGGTAGTTGACAATTACTTATTTTGTAAATTTGAAAAAAATATCACCTTATAGAGGATGATTAAATGAAACTTTTTTGTATTTACAACTTATTCATGCGAGGTTTAGTTTCAAAGATAAAAATTCAAATCCTAGAACACCTTCTCCTGAAATTCAATTTTCGCAACGAACTAACTTTTCTAACATTTCAATCTTTATTTTCGGAACTAAATCATTAAAAATGTTAAAAATAATTGTCGTCGCAACCCCGTAGAAGTCTCGGCTCGCAAAGGGTCGAGAAACAAACAAGTTCCTTTCGTTCCAACCTGCTGGCAATGAAATTAGTTCACGAGACACGCGAGCGTATCAACAGACACGTTCCACGAAACGTTTCAATCGATGAAACCGCCCGCAGCAGGGAGAGTTTCCTTAATAGAACGAAACCAAGTCGGCGTAGCCTTTGACAAACCGAAGCAACAACAGAGATCGTTAACAAGGGGACAAAATTACGCAGCTGATCGCCTCGGAAAGGGGCGCAAGTGCATCCCAGTTACTCATAAATTAATCCGTTAGACTTCGCTCGGATCCTCGTGGATTCATTACGGGTCAGAGTCCCCGGCACGGTCGCTGAAACGCGACACAGTTCGCCCAGAAGATCAACTCGGACGAATTCGGATTAAAACGGGTCCAAGTAGGTAATTACATCGCCTTGTTAATTAATTCTTTGGACCGACGGCGGAGGCTTGCGCGACTCGGTGTTGGCGGACACGGAAACGAAGACGTTCCAAAGTCGTCTATGTCGACTCAGGGTAACGACTTGTCACGTTGGAATTATTATTATTATTTAGGATGGCGCCAGGGAATGGTACGCTTCGTGATATTAAATTACACGCGTGGCGAACGTTTTTGGCGAGGATGCAACTGAACACGTGACGAGTGTAGATTTAACTATTGGTGGGAAATATAGGAAAAACAATTATGAGAAAAACAAGATACTGAGAAATGAAAATGGCCGTAATCTAATTTATCTTTATTCGACGAGTAAGTAAATTTTTATGCTTGGCTCACTCGAACAAATCATCGGGGACGATGGATCAAAAACCGGCGCTCCGCGTTATTATCGTTCAATTTTCCACGACAGATGTTTAGTTTCAATTAACTCTGCAATATTTGTCGTAAATTAAACTCAAACATCCCCCGAACGTTCCATAATTTAATATTTTGTATTAAAATATCCTGCTGCCGCGTTTCTCTCTCGACTAGAAAAAGGAATCCATATTAACACTTTCGCAATCGTGGACTAGATATTTGTACGGAAATTCGGGCAAGCGTGTTGCAATATTTATTATAAATAATATTAGGCTCAATTTCAATGTTTGATATTTCGATCGCTATACAAAAATCGGAATATAACGAAGTATGTGTTATTTTGGACCGTGACAAGTAGAATTATAGAATTATTATAGTACTTTCTTGAAACTTCGAATTTAGGAGTCAAGATCTTGGCCTAATGACTAGGTGATCGACGCCCCGATTTTAATTAACTCGGAAGACTTTGCGTTCACTTTCTCGCGTCTAATCGCCACGGGAAACAATAAAACGAAAAGCAATTACTTAACACCCTACTTGCTCCACTTTCCCGGTAAAACCGGCGAAACCGTACGAACTTTTCTTAACGTCGGGGCGAAGCAATATGGCCGCGAGGCTTACTACTGCTCGACTTCTTTGATTCGATAGAGCTCCTCTTTTTGGTCAATTCACCAGTATGACACTTTAAGCCGATTTCCAGCGAAATAAATACCAGATCTCCTGGGGAGTGTCTTTGGAAAAGCGAAGGCAATCTTGGAGGTTAAACCAATAAATAAACCACGTCGAATCACAAGAGATCTCTTTCTAATTCTTAAACCATTCGCTGCTAACTACGAGATGTCTCTAGTTTAACTTAATTAATTGCAATTTCTCAAGGAATACGTTTATAGCCTTTTGAGTCACGAGGATGATGCATTTTCTTTCTGGAACAACAAATTTAATATATCTTTTCATTATCAAAATAATAACCTCAATGGGTCATGTCCCATTAGTCAATGTATTACTGTCAAATGATTTGAAAGTTCAGGTGTTGGTATCGTTAAAAATTGTCCATTGTCTTGTTGAACATTCCTTTGAATTTTATCTAATAAACTTGGTTATTAAATTTTATATTGATTCTGTTACAAATTTTGTTTTATTAACACTTGTTTTTTTACAAAGAATATTATGGAGCTTCAGGTGACAACACAGGTACTTCAGACATTATATTCCTTTGAATTTCATCTAAATAACCTGATTATTAAAATTTATATTAATTCTACTTCAAACTTTGTATATTAAAAATTATTTTGCAAAGAATATTATGCAGCTTCGGATTGACAACGCAGATTCGTTCTTTTCGAATTGAATTTCCAAATTAAATATCACTTTTCATTATCGAAATGATAACTTTAGATTTTTAAATATTGGCGCCCAAGGTAAAACGCTCGAAAGTGAACATTAATATGAAAATTTCATCAATAAAATATAATGCTTTACTGCAGGAAATGCAATAATTATTCAAATTAAAATGGGAACGATTGCTCAGACAATTTCAATATTACAATACTTTAACAGAAATCGATTAGTAAATTTATTAAATATAATATCAATAATAATTACCAACGTTAAAATAATAATTATCATTACAAAAATTATAGCAAAGTTACAAGATGAATGTAAATTACCAGTAAAAGGTGAGTTTGGATTGTAAACATAACAGCGAATTGCCAAATATCTATGATTATACCCAGAAAGGTTATTAACCTCGAAATTCTCCTTCAACCCCATCGGTCCTCGATTTCTATTCTTCAGAACCTCTCTTCGGCTCCCGGTAGCAGGGTTCTATCGCGTGGAGATATCGCGATGCGCAGCGGTAACTGCGAGCGTAACGTCGGCGCGTTATTAAGAGATAAAAATGCAGTTAAAAACTATTACCACGGGAACACCGACGCCCCGTGCCTCCCAGAAAAACTGCTACGGTGGTAGCTGCAAGATTCCCGGAGGCTATATCCCCGCAGCTTTCGCCGGCGAGCGCATCCTTAAGTAAATGAGGTCTTATCGCGCGGCCCTTTCACAGCCAACGGGGTTGGGCGGCCCGGTTGCAAAAACGTCAACGCTCCAACACACGTATCGTAGCTCCCTGTTCTTATCCCGCGAGTCTTGGCGCTTATCTGCCATCGTTCCACGGGAACAAACTACTCCGCCGTCGTAAATAAACCCTGACCGCGCCGCGGAGTGAAAAGCTTCGCCGAGTGTACGGAACGATCGAGTGCAAAGTGTTCAACGCGAGTGTTCGACGCGATGAACCAACGAGAAGGGAGTTAAGGGAGTAAAGTTCCCCTTAGTCTCGTGAGCGTGGAACGTTCGAAAGTTCAGGGGTCGTTGCGAAGTCACCGTGATACGTGTGAACAGGTCACGGGAAGGAAGGAAGGAAGTAAGGAAGGAAGGAAGGAAACCCGCTCGAGGAGGTGTTATTAAAGTTCCTCTCCCACTGCTGGCGCCTTCCTGATTCGAGGTGTAACGTTGGCGTTTACGTGGCCGGTGCGAAAACTATGAGGCACGATGATGGGGCCAAGAATCGGTGGCCTATCGAGCGGGAAAATGCTGGACTTCTGCCAGGATACGCGTCATGGTTGGACGGTGTTGCTGCTGGTTTACTTGGGCGTCTGCGCGTCCCTGCCTGTCACCATTTCCTCCGGTTGGTATACTCGATTCTAACCTTTTACTCTGTTTGGTCTCGTTTGATCGCTGTCTATCGCGGTGACCGTTTTAGGAGAGGGTTTGTGATGTTTGAAGAATGTCTATTCGAGCAAAGAACTCGATCTTACCATTAGTATTATTAATAAAGTGGCTCCAGGTTTTTTTTTCAATTTATTTGTATAAAGGCAGGATTTCACAATGTAAGAAGAGTAATGTCACAAGTGTAAATAAGTTTTTACTTCCTTCCGTATTTATTTGTTGGTGGTGCTAGAAGTGAAATGCACCTGACTTTGGACACTAAAACGGTCGTCGTTAGGGTTCAATTTATTTCAGTGATTAACTGCTTGATAAATACATTATGCTTTTTCTTTATTTTTAATGAACTGTAGACTTAGAAGTTCGAACTGTAGAAGTTTAGCGATATTGGAAACATTATAATAAGTATATTGTACGAGATACTTTTAATCAATAACCCTTTTGATAAATTCTTTGTCAGGATTTGTTACTATATAAAGGGATAACATATAAAGGGAGCTTCGTAAGTCAAATTCAACAATACTCGTAATACTTAATTCACATAAATCACGTGTGACTTAATTTCATGTAAAAGTAGAATATGTATTTGTATGTCTTTATCATGGAAGGTACCTATTGGAATAAACAAAGACATTTGTTAATTCCCAAAAACACCCAAAAAATACACACACATTATACATTGTACACACAAATGCACATACATCAAGTATACCATGAAATATAGAGTTCACATTATTTTGGTTCACTATAATGATTATTATGGCAGGTTTAGTACAAATAGTTACAACCTTCTCATTTCAAACCAATCACTCAACGCATTTTCCGTTTTTCCAAGACACTTCGAAAAAATCTACAAACGTCTAATAAAAAATATTCCCAACATCCTGGCCACGTTTACCCCATTGATTTTTGATATCTCTCAAAAATCCCAGAATGTGATACACAGCATTCATCAGCTACGTCTGGGTTCGTCAGAGTTTCGGCGTTCCGTCGACCGCGAGCGTTTCGTTTTTCCCGCGTTTTCACCAATGAAATTGAAGAAGAAACATCCGTTGCCTCTGTGTTTAATATCGTTTTTTTTTTGGTGTAAAAATGATTATTCGCATAGGTACATTGAATATAAACGTCAGCGAGACGAGAATAAATCCAGCGAGTCGTGATATCGCGTTCTTTCGTCGACGACGAAGCGATTCCGCGGCGCGGAAACCGTGGAAAAGTTTTCGTGCATTTGTTTCCCCCGGATGTGAACTCTAACGGTTCCGGCTGAGAAATGAACCGCCATAAATTACGTCACGCTCATCAAGCGGCGGTCTCAATTTTGCCGAACTTTTTCCACAAATCGTCGCCAACGTCTGCGTCTTAGAAGAATGCTTTTAAAGCTCCCCTCTTTCGCGACGTTGGGTGTCAATTTTAGAACAGCGAAAATGTTTTCTTTTCTTACGAAGCAGAGGCTGCTTGCGTAATAGTAACAAAGGACCAAGGAAATATTTGTTGTTATCGATCGGTTATTGATTCCTTGGGTTCACCATCTGCATGCAGCGCTAAACTTCCGGTCCGCATTCGTTTGAGATTACGCCCCTGTATAGATTAAACAGTAGAAAGAATAACATCTGTTTAAAAGCACAAGGTTCTGAACGTATAATAAAATGTGTGATAGTTATCATTTTCACGTACTGCACTAATATTCTTGATGTTAAACAGAAATCGAGATGGTTCCGTTCGATGAACCCGACCGAAAACAACATACACAGTTCGCGTGTAAACGGTGATTCCTCAATTTAATAAATAACGTGTTATTTTCGCTGAAAATAGTCACCGAGTCACTCTGTCTATTTCCGTTGGATCGATTTTGTTACCGAGCCAACAATTCAACGTTCCAGACATTGAAACGCTCGTGTGTCGTCAATTAACTGTGTTTCGCGTTCCAATCTGACGCTCGATAATTAATGTAAAGAATTTTAATCAACATCGTTCCCCGTTACGAGTACGATTGAACGTGGATGCGCGTTAACGAGCCGCGAGCTTCGCTATTTACTGGAAAACTTGTGTTCCCGATGTTCAGTCTGTCGCCGAATCGAGAGCCTGGAACAAGCGGTGTGTACATTTTCGATACTCGGAACAATACGTGGCTTTCTTTCTTTTAAAAATAGATCGGAAAAATGTGGAAGCGAACGAAAAACAAATGAAGCTTTGCCAGGAGATTAACACTGTTCAGACCAGGGACGTCAATATGGCGTCGTTTTGAAGCGTTATTAGAAAGCGAAAGACTAAATACGTTCAAGTGTTGTAATTTCAAGTGTAATATACATTTTTAGTGAATTCTAAATGCATTATTCGTTAACAAGTTCGTGATTTAACAACTGTATCTATGTAATTTCAAGTGTAACACAAACTTTTGGTTAATTTTAAATGCATTATTCACACGAGTTCACAATTTATTAACTGTATCTATATTTGTTATTTTACCAATAAATTATTACGACTAATTTACGAAATTTTCTTTGTTCGGAGTTTCCTTTATTTTTTTTTTTTTATGAAAGGTATAACAAATATAGATCGTGTTTCTGCATAATCGAGCAAAATTTGAAGCTCCGTAATGGAAGTTACGAGTCCTATTAACAATTTCGTCGTAATTGTCTGAGACGACTAGACGAAGTATTTGCGAAACAAAATTACATTTCTGCTGCTATATTCCATTACACTAACGTCACTCCGGTCCCTGGCACTCCAACGTGGATTCTCACCATTGTAACTCCGACGCTTTGTTACAATTTTGACGATTTAGTCGTGCAGTCGACCGTAAAAGTGAATTTTTGCTTAAAAAGCTCGCACGTCGCTTTATTCCTTGAGAAATTGTTCTGCCTCTAACAGCCCTGTTGTTCGTCGAAGCTTTGTATTGTTCCAACATTAATTGCAATACTGCTGTTGTTCATTTAGTCGACTATTAGAATGATTATTACTTCAAATATCTATTTACCAATATTGTGTCTGTTGTGTATATATTTGTCCCCATTAATAAATTAAAAATTTCAATACGAATCCAATGTGAATGTCAGTAAGATAGTTTTGTTGTTATTGAGCCACGTTAAACAAATCTTAGAAGGTACGTTAAACACTAAATAATTTAAATATGTGTCTCCAACGTCCCTAGTCTCTAGGAGTTTAAATTAGGAGAATTAGGAGAATTAAATTATAATTTACGAAAATATTGTGATAATTGCGTATATAATTTTCTGGAATAACAAGTCAAGAATTTCAGTATAAATGCAATGCAAATGTCAGTAAGATTCTTTTGTTGTTATTAAGCCACGTTAAATAAATCTTAGAAGGTATATTAACCACTAAATAATTTAAATATGTGTCTTCCTCGCCTCTAGTCTCCAGAAGTAATTAAATCACAATTTACCAAATTAATACAGAAAATATCCCTACACACAATAAATTCCACTACCCTAACTGATTGCATATGGAACCACCCCGTCATAGGCACTACCCCCAATTCGCCACAATTATCGAAGGTCGAGTTACTTCAAAGACCACGACCCTTCCAATTTCTCCCCGCTTTATTCCGTAAAACGAGTCGAGGAGGTATCGTATGTCACGGTTGACACGCTCCAGGGACGAATTTATTTTCGAAATAAGACTGCCTGTCCGTCTTCGTTTCCATGTTTCTCTCTTTTTTTTCTTTTCGTGGAAACACTCGCTTTATGACACACACGTGCTGCCATAAAAGTCCGCACACGCTCGCGCTGGCTCACACCGACAACCATGTACGGTTTCAGCAATTCCAAATGCGCCAGGCTGCATAAGTACTTCCGTTAAATCTGTGTCAGATGGAACACGGACGACAATTTTTTTCGTCGTCGCTGTACCCTTCACGGCTCGTACATCTCGAGCAACCTAATCTGAATTCGTTTTTTTTTTTTGTATCGCGTCGTGGCACAATTAAAAGATACGATCGAATTAAATCGTTCGCACGTGTCCCGTAATCGCGACGGGGGCGAGAGTTTAATTAACTCGGAGCACGAGCTGACCAGAAACTACCCTTATTTCCACTTCTTCTCTTCCTGGTGATGTTCGCGAGCTAAATGTTTCATTATCGTTTAAATATTCTACAGATACTGTCTAAAGATTAAGTTAAAAAGCTGTTGAGAAGCTGTGGACTCTGGGAAAATAACAATTTTAGAGTGGAGATTATAATTTATATTTTTTTCATTGTTAAGTGTCAAATGAGTGGCGCCATTGTTCCAAGACTGAGCAGCTTCTAAAAGAGAACTTTATTTTTGCAACTTTGAGAGATCCTACATATTTCTTGCAAGACTTTCTATATCTCTTACACATTCAAACTATATAAATTGGTTGTTACATTCCAGTTTTATTAAAGAAACAAATTCTCAGATCTTCCTCTGGAAATCCTCTTAAATTCCTGTTGATGTTATCGAAAAATTGCAGTGTAGACATATTTTTAAAATCGATTTCCAACACTTTTCGCTATAGACTCCGCTGTGCATTTTATGGTTAGCACCCTCCGCGGCTCCTCCATTCCGTAAAAATCGTTCGAACGGTATGTAGCGCAGATTTTAATACCAAGCCGAGCTGCAGATATGCTTCAAATTTAACCACAAACAATTGAATCGTTGTACCGCGATGCAATAACAAACACACCGATAGGACTGCGTTTTTTAATCTCGATTCCTACCGATTCTATCAGAAATCTGTATAGCCGAAAAATATTTGCGAATTTAATTCCCAATAGTTTCCGTTATGTACTTGTTTGCTGTGAAAACATGGGTTAGCAGAAGAGCATACACGGATGCACGATAAAAAAATATATATATAAAGGCGGACACGATTTCATTTGGTTTATAGAAACGCGATTTTTCTAACGTTAGCCCGCGCATCGGAGCGTGCGTGAAATGAGCACGGTGTTCGAATTAGAGAGACGACGTCGTTCAACAGTTT